GTGAGAATGTGCTAATTCATATCCTACCTATCTAGTATGTTAAGCTCAATTTGTGTTTTTGTTTATTTACTAGGTAATCTGCTTTGATCTGTTTGTTACCACTTAAAATCTATCTTTTTGTAGTTAATAAACTTATTTTATGTTTTAATCCAAACTGGTGTGCATTTGACTAAAATGTCTGGGGAAAATCTCAGCTTGATTACCACAAGTGTGCATGGTCCTCTTCACATTGAGGGAGAGGCGGACCGGGTATTAAACTCATATACTGGCCAGATTTGACTAGAGCAGGACAGTACTGCTTTGGGGTCCTAGCCTGGAAGGCTGGTAGTTAGAGAGCCTGCATGTGACTGCAGCTGGGTGTGTCCCTACCTGTGTGAATGCTGGTGAAAGTGCAAGCTTGGAGGGCTTTGCAACTTGTCACAGCAGCACGGTGTGAGAGGGAGCCTAGGCTGGTGGGTCAGAGGGCTCAGTGGTACCCCAATTCCAGGTGGCACCCCGGGGGGAACCTGTCACAAAAGCATTGTTTAATCTCAACAGTAGGACCATGGCAAGGCATAAAAGAAAAGGTTTTTAATACAGTAACAATCTTCATTTATAGCTATCTTACCTAAATCTTACCAGCTTAGGGTTGCCAATTCTGACTGAAGCTATTCCAGGAGATTTTTTCCTGCAACATGATGTAATGTCATTTTCTTAAAATATCCTATTAAAATCTCCCGGACTGCTTTCAATAGTCACCAGGAGATCAATGCCGATTCCGTGAGACTCCAGGCCAATCCTGGAGGAACCCTATACCAGCTGCATGGAAGCTTAGGAAAGGCCTCACTTCTTCAGACCCTCCCCTTCTCCCACAAGTCAATGGCTGTCTGTAACAGTTTGTTTCCCTGAAAACAGCTCTCTGTCAGCATGCTTATTTAGATATCTAGAGAGTTACTTAACTGATTAATGATCTTTTAGATCCCTGCCTTGGCAAAATAAATCTTGTAGCTTTGGGTGGAACCTGGAAGTGGCATCTTCATAGCTAATAGTTCAGGTATTGTTTCTTAACCTTCTGACCTATTTATCAGGAGATGTTTTATCTGGTTCTATTGTGCTATCTTCCTGCTTGTCTCCTAACCACCCTGCTATTAATTAAACCAACCCATTCATACAGTGACTTAACCCCCTCTAGTTACAGAGCAAACATTCTCATAATGAATATAGCCATACAGGATTCATAAATTAATATGGATCGGCCCCTATCCTTGCAGGGCAGGACTTTAAAAATGTTATGCTACTGTCTATGAAGCAAGTGGCTGTATAGGCTTAATTCTAATATGCTACTTCTAAACTGTGTGGAGTCAGAGTGCACAGAACAATAGAAACTCACCAATCTATGCTGCACTAAATCAGACACTTTATAATCCATGCAAAAAGATGGCAGTCAGCAAAGTTTTAATATCAGTTACTGTAAAATTCAGTCATTTGACTCGCAATCCAGTCATTTGCAGTGGGTCTCCAATTAGAAAGTTAGCAAGGCTCTACTGTATTTCACACTTAGTGCAGTGGCGCACACAGAGATTATATTAGCTCACACTCAAAGTACCAATAATCAATAGAAAAGCAACATGAAGAACTTCATGTAAAAAAGTCTTCTCTACCTCTGCATATAGATATAGTAATTACTGAACAACTGAACACTTTAAATTTAGATTCCCAAATATTTATTTCATTTAGATGTAAGAATATTATATGTTTATAAAAAAGATAATGATTGAAGTCCTGATTTCACTACCGTTACTTACAGAGAGTCATATTTTACTTCATTCCAATGAGATTGCTTGTGAAGCAAAGTACCAGTTAAGTGCATCTGGTTGAAAAAAACAAGAGCCATTAGCCAAGTACCTGAGAGAATTCTCAGTACGACCTCAGAGCACTGGTAAACTGGTGGATGGGCCTGTGCCGCTTCCGGGAGCTCCCATTGGTCGGGAATGGAGAACCGCGGCCACTGGGAGCTGCGAGCGGCCGTACCTGTGTACGCTCAGGTAAACAAAGCGTCTCATGGACCACCAGGGGCTTACCTTGAACAAGCCACAAATCAAGTTTGTGAACCCCTGGTGTAGATAATGTGTACATAGTTAATTTTTATTATTAAGGGTTTTTTTTCCCAACCAGACGCACTTAAATGGTACTTTGCTTCACAAGTAATCCCATTGGAATAAAGTAAAATATGACTCAGTTGCTAACCCATAATACAAATATTTTAACAATGTATTTGCAAGTATTTCCCATAAAGCAACTGTTGTTATTGAATGCGTATTTTGATGCCTCTGATGAAAACACTACTACTGTGAACATCCTTTTATGGCATGGCTCAACTCTTCACTTTTAAAAAGAGACCATACATCAGGATTTTGCTGCATTAGGAGATGAACAGATCAAAGGACCAGGCAATAATAATGTTCAGAGAGATGCTGGAGAGAGAACCATAGAATAAAGCCAAGGACAGGTTTTTAAAAGTGCATCAATGTTGCATTTCATAGGCTTATGATATTAAAGGCACTGCTTCTTCTATAGTCTTATATTACCTCCCTATTTTCTGTGCCAGCGCAAATCCACATACAAACATTTCCATACACATACACACACACACACACACACACACACACACACACATATATAAGGAACTCCAAAAGAACCAAGGGAGGGATCAGATCAAAGAAAATGAAGCGTAACAGATAAAGGTAGATCTAACTCACAATACCAGAACAAAGGAAAGGAATCTACTTTTCATCAGGCTGGAAGCACCACCAATTATAAGGAAGGGTGAAAATAACTAATATAGTCTGAGTTATAATATGGTTTGTAGATGCATCATGTATTGAAAATATTAGTTACAATGGGAAGTGCAGGTGGTTATGGAGTTATTGCTTTTTACTTGGATGCATATGTTCATTGTAGGGATATAATTACGGACTAGCTGGTAACACAGTAAAAGTTGGCCAGTAAACAATTCTGCTTCATGAAAAAAATTTGAGATGTAAGATTACTTTTCTTCTGATGTGGAACAAAAGCAAGACCCTTTCAATTTTTTCACGACAAAAATAAGAGAGAGAGACACAGACCAACCCAAGAGTAGCACATAGCCCAGTGATTAGGGCACCCACCTGGGATACGGAAGACCCAAGTTCAGTTCCCTGCTACAAATCAGCCAAAGCAGGGATTAGAATCTGGGTTTCCCACATCCCAGGCAAGTGCCCTAAACACAGGAAAATTAGGTATTCTGGGCTAGGTCTCCCCCTCTCTCAAATTCCATCCTGGACCCAAATAACTTTCCTGACAAAATTTTCATTGAAACCAATATGTTTTAGCAAAACATTTCAGTTCCAACAAAACAACATTTTTCAACAGAAAAATGTTTCATCAAAATGTTTTGATCATTTCTAGTTACAGGACTTGTCTCTTATTTAAAGGCCCAATTTAATTCTCTTTCCAGTGACTTTAATTAGAGCTATATCAGATTTTAACAGAGAGATTTCTTTTACTCAGAGATGCAACTCATGAAACATGCATTGGGCTGTATCGTGCAATGCCAGATACACAAAGTTATGTTGTATGGTTAACCTCAGTCCAGTGAATGTAGCCTTTTCCTCATTGACAGATTTATTTATTTTTAATTAAACACAATTTTAATGGACAAAAAGGGAAGTCTGCTGAAAATGCTATAGTGCTACAAGCATCAAATAACTATAGATGTTTACCTTATGTTTTCAGACTTTTCTTACCCTTTCAGCCTTTGTGAATCTTACAATATAACCACTTTAAAATGTGCCATCAGTTAAGTGGTTTCTGTAACCAATCTCACCCAAGAATGCACTTGCTACTGTGTCTATTAGCTTTGGAGTAGAACAGTTTCTCTATAAACCTACATCTGAATTATTTCACACTAATTGGTCTGTTGGAAGTATAACCGAACCACAGGTCAGTCATTGTAGATTTTCCATCAATTCTGTTGGAATAATCCTATTATGTTTCTTAATGGTGAAGATGTGAAGGAAAGGAAGTAGCACCCCAAAAACCACCTGTAAAAATGAACCCTGATGCACATAGCTATAAGGACATGACTATCATCAAAAAGAAATTGTAAAAAAGACGTAGGGCTTGTCTACATGGCAAGGCAAAGTGCATTAGAGGGGTATGATTTGTAAAGTGCTCTAACGTGTTGCACTCTAACTGTCTTGTGTAGACCCTGCTGGTGCTCTCTAAAAGGTTCCTAGTTCATGTTAATGTCCTGTTTGAAACAGGACTACTTTAATGCACACGAGGTACCTTTTAGAGCATGCCAGTTAGGGCAGTTAGAGCACAACCCATTAGAGTGCTTTATAAATCATATTCTTCTAAGGGCAGCAAAGCACATATGTAGACAAACCCTACACCTATTGTCCAGTGTTGTTTTTTCTTTTCATATTACAGGAAGAAACAACCTTGACATTCACCAGATTTTAATTTTTTCTGCATCACGCACACACATATCCTGCTAGCTTTCATGAGCATAGCCACATCTCTAATACTCAAATGTGATAACACAGCTCCCATTATTTGAAAGACCATCCCAGCAATGGTACAAATGGAAATAAGCTGGATACAAATAAAAGGGCAGCATTCATACTTTTTCAGTGTTTTTAAATGTTAGGCATGATGCAATCCTTTTGAATGTGAAGCATTTTGAAAAGTAATATACAAAAATGTAGGTAGTATGGGCAGTACATTTACTCTTTCTTATTCTTGCAAAAAAATGGAATAGCCTAACTTAGAGGATCTGCCTCTCAAGAATCACTCTCTCTCTCCACATGTCAGTATTATAGCAGTAGTATACTGCTATTTTCAAAATCAAGGCATAGGTAGGTAACTGTTAGTAACTATCAGCCAGAATTTCCATGGTAACAATATTTCCCCCCAGTAATTGAACAATGGAGTGATATGCATTTTCTTCCCACTTGTCACACTTCCTTAACTCTTACCTTCCAGATTCAAATGTGAACCATGTTGAGTCACGCCCATATCTCCTCAAAGAACTCAGAGGCCACATGACCAGCTTGACCTTGGCATTATGGATATCCCAGAGATAGATGTTTTCATGTGTGATCTGCATTGTACATTCCCCATAGATATCTAAATTTGGTGTAGGCATAAGATATACGTTGAATCGCTCTAGGAAGGAAAAAAGCAAAATGAGAGGGAAATCTGGTGAAAATGAGAGTTAATTTGAAAAATTAACAGAATACCAATTTGCCTGGCTACAGAAATTTTAGAAATCATGAGCCAGATCCTCCGCTGATTTACATGAAGTCAATGAAGCTATAACATTTACATAAGTGAAAGATTTGGCTCCTGGCATTTTACATACAGTACTACTAGAAACAAAATTATTAGATGGTATACAGCATCATTTACTCACATGGATGGAAACAGCTCATGATGCTACTCAGGGAATTTTAAATCAAATTGTAGTTTATTGCCACATATATTATATATATGCGCGCACACACACAAACAGAAAAACAGTCAAAATTTGAAGGTGCAAATATTGGAAATGCTGGGTTAAATTTTAATTCTCAAGGCACAATGGCATGATCCAGGGCAGAATGTCAGCCTCGATTTGTAGATTTGTTTCTGAATTTCCTTGCATTTGTGGAACTAGGTCATACACTTGCAGTTTTGTGTTACTGCTTTTAAGGGTGCTAAAAAGACCAAAGCTATGAATAAAATAACAATTCAAGACAGGGCATCAGAAATACTCACTCTATAAATGAGCTGTTGGAAACATACACATATGTATATAAGGGCCAATTAGGAAAAGTGGCTTCAAAAATTAATAAAAGAGCAAGGGTTTGGTGCAGAACATTTTTTAAAAAATCCAGACTTGGGGAGACATTCATTGGGAGGGTCCTCATACAATTGTGAAAGGAATTAAAACTCATTTAGGGATGGTTTGTAGAGAGAGTAACTAAATATAACAGTCAAAAGAGACCTACATTATGTGTGTAAGTCAACAGACCAGACTGTATTTTCAACATTTGTTAAATACACTTTTTGATAGATCAGTGGAGGAAGAAGTTGTAAATGAGCATCCAAGTTAATGCAAAATAAGCTAAAAGTGTAGGAGCAGAAATGAACACAAGTTTGGTTATGGAATTAAAGTGATCAGGGAACAATCACATGTACAGTAAGATTTGCAACCCCATGTGGCTATAAGTAAACTTTTCATCCCCAACGATATTCTGTCTCAGTCCATTTAATTTTGACCCATTAGTGCCTCCCCAGTTGATTCACTCAATCTTCTGGCCATCCAACCTCTTCTCTTAAATTCCATTTCTCATGAATCATACTAATGGGTGTTAGCCCTGTAAATTGTATTTTATGACTAAAGTCCCATGTGTGGAAACCATGCAATGTTTAGTGACAGTCCTTTAACAGATGGCACAAATAGCTTAGCAGATGCAGTTAAAATCACTGTAAACGATTTCCCTTACTGGTCACAGAGATTTCTTCAGTAGAGATCTAATCCAATGCCACTGAAATAAATGAAGTCTTCCACTGACTTCAATTGGCATTGGATAAAAAGCCCTTAGACACCGACTACTGACTGAAGAATCTAGAGAACATCATGGTAGCTTACTTACTCTTTGTATTAGAATTGTACATGATCACATTGTTCAGTGATTAGATACTACAGTGATGGGCATTATGCAAAACCCTAAGATAGAGGAGGGAAGGAAAAGTGTGAGAGTGAGATAATAGAAATGATTGACAGATGGGCTAACAAAAATGATTGTGGACACTGACTTCTGCTTCATAATAGACACTGTTATGATTTAGTTACACACTAGACTTTAGTTTTGTACTGTTGTGCTATTACCATTCCTGGTGAGGATTGCCACTGCTGAATTCCCAGAATACGAGACATTCTGGTACTTACAGGAATGGTATAAGCCTTCTCTTGCCAGTGTGACCTTGCACACACAATGTGTGAGAGGTCACATTGTACAGAGGATGCCATTTTGAAGAGTGCACTGCTCCCTCCCACACAGTGTGACCTCACATTTGGTGTGTGCAAAGTCACGCCGGCAGGATGGAGCAGCACGATCTTCAAAATGGCATCCCTCCTCCATAATACTGGACAAAACCACATTCAGTTTTGTCTCTGTAGTGGACAGGGGACAAACCATAGAAAAAGAGAACTGTCCATCTTAAAACTGGATGAATGGCCTCCTATTCCAGGCCCTAGCAGCTCCCCCTCTTTGAATTGGACCAGAATGAAAGGTCCGGATAATCTGTGTAATGGCAGATTCTCTGACCCACCTCAGTTTTAGCCTCACCGTGTGTAACCACACAAGGAGCCCCTCTGGAACGGTGCTACGTGCTGAACAGGGGATGTACATTCCCTGAAACTCTGCCCCTTTCTTGTGTAGCAGAATCCCCTTGCTTCCACTGTCACAATGGCACCAGCACACGTGGAGAAAGGTTTGCCACTTTGCGCAGATTTTAATTTTCAGGGATAATTTCATGCACTATGCTATTATTTAAGGAAGAGTCTAAGGGCATATGAGAAATAGAAGCCAATTGGTTTAATTTCCACTTAGAATATACAAAAACAACTTTGAATTTACAGAGAAAAGCTCAACATGATTTAAAAGCTACCAAAATGTTCACAGTAAGGAACCTAACTTCTTGGAATTGTTTGAGCATATTATCGCATAAGGGCATTCAGGAGACATAATATACTCAAATTGTCAGGAGACATTTGTCTACTCTGCATTCAAGGTCAGTGTCTAAGGTGAGGTGTCATGGATTGAGAGGAAATGTGTCTGATTAAACTGAACATCAGCTGCAAGGCAACCAAGTGGAACCATAGGAACTTATTCAGGCTGGCAATAACAGAAGTTATTCATACATGCACTGGAGGAGCAAATGTTTGTTTTTACAGATTTTCAGTTTTGTTTTTTAACTAAGAGTACAATTTTGTAACAAAAATTTATGAAAGTGTGCAGACAACAGGAAATTGGGAGGAAAATGAATGCTGAGGAATAATGCACAGAATTAAAAATTAGGGTCAAATCTGCTGGGGAAGGTTTGCACAGTCTCTCTGTGAAGTCAAGGGAAAAAATTGAGTTTCAGAGGCAAATCCTGCCCCAATTGCATAGCTAGGGTTTAGGAAATCGAGGCTCAATCCCCAGTTCTGCCTCAGATTCCCTGAATGACTTTGGGCAAGTAACTTACTCTCTCTATGTCTCAATTTCTGTCTGTCTGTCAATTTGGGGATAATAATACTTGCTCACATTGTGAGGATAAACTTGTTAATGTTTATGAGGTTATCTGACCAGTTTGAGGGTGCATCCCTGGAGCCACATGGTGCTCAGCTTCACAACTTCCCTCTGGACATTAGGGTCAGCTGTGGGCAGAGCACGGTCTGGTGAAGCCAAGGCCAGAGAATTTGCTGCTATGCAGACCCATCTATCATTCCACCACAGAGGGCATGCAGCCAGGTATTCCCTACTCCATCTCTCCATGGAGCAGAGCAGCACAGAGCAAGGTACTTGGGTTATGTGACTCAGTCCAGGATGTAGGCCTTGGAGAATAGAAGTCCTTTATCTTGATGAAAAAAAATCATTGTCAATAAATAAACTAACAATGATCTTCAGAGTGTAGAATAAAGGGGAAGACTATTTCTTAAATGAAACATTTTGACTAAGAAAGAAATTTAGCAGCAACCATAAAAATATCTAAGGCCATATCTACACTACAGTGACTATACCGGCATAACTACTGTGCTGAGCTACACCAGTATAGCCCTGTAGTGAAGACACAGCCTACAGCGATAGACGGGGTTTTTCTGTTACTGTAGGAACATCACCTCTCTGAGCAATGGTAGTGAGATTGACAGGGTTGTCTAAGGGAATTTGCCAATGCTTCTTTGTCAAAACCAGGGTGCTCAGGAACTTTGCCTTGCCCAAAAAGTCTAGTATGTCATTGATTCTGGGCATAGGCTATGCATCTGAAACAATGACAGCATTAAGTTTCCTATAATCAACACAAAACCGTATGGTCCCATTCCTTTGGGGGACCATAACAACTGGAGAAGCCATGGGACGATTTGACTTTGTAATTATTGACACGTCTAGCATACTAGCTATCTCCTTAGGGAATTGCTCCTTCATTCTACCAGATGTTTAGTATGATCTGTTGGGCGCAGGCTGTGGTCCTGCAGTGTTAATCTGTTGGACAATTTTGTGAGTCAGGCCAGCCCTGCTGGAAAATACCTGCTAGTGCTTTGCACCACAGCCATAATCTTAGTTTATTTTGGTTAGGGTTAACCCTTCATATCGATTAATGCTCTCTAGTGGTGTATCACTATGACATTCAGTCACTGAATCATTAAAAGTCTTACAGTCCTTCTCTGCATAGCATATCATGTTTACAGTGGCTTTACGATTGTGATAAGCTTTTAACTCATTTATATGCACAGTCTGTGGTGCAACCCTGCTACAGGGTCTTTGTACATTGTAGGTAACATCGCTAACCCTTTCTACCACCTCAAAAGACCCCTCGCATGAGTTCTGCATTTTGTATCTTTTTACAGGGAGTAATACCAGTACCAAATCCCTCACATGAAATGACTGATTATAGGTATTGCGATCATATCATTCTTTCTGAGCTGCCTGGCTTGTAGTGAGGTTTTGCTGCATTATTTCCATCATGGTTTTTTAACTGCCCCCTGAACTTCTGCACATATGCAGTCACCAGTTGCCCCCTCTGCTTCAGTGCCACACTCCTAGGAGTCTCTAATGAGATCCAGGAGACCTCTGACCTTTCTCCAATTCAAGAGATCAAATAGAGCAAATCCCAAGGACTTTTGTGGCACTTCGCAGTAAGCAAACAACAGACTGGGTAACATTACATCCCAGTCACTTGCCTTATTGTTTACATACATTTTTTAGCATAGATTTTAGGATCCCATTCAACCTCTCGACTACTCCATTTGTTTCTGGATGGGATGAGGCAAATTTCAGCTATTTTACCCCCAACACATCCTCTATAGCTCACCAAACAGCTGGAACATGAAATATGACCCATGATCTGATAACTTCTCTTTTGGATAGCCCACCCTGCTGAATACAGAAAACAGTGCCTTAGCAATTGTGTCAGCTTCC